CAATACAATTGATTGATCGGTCCGGGCGAAGGTGTGCAATCTCATGACTCTCCAATAATCTCGTAGCATTAATAATCGACATTATATCTTAAGGACGAATACGATGAGTGTAAAATGTTGTACAGTAGGCAAGTAGAATATTATGGAGTCGTAGTAAGCGATTCTGATACGAATGATACCAATCTCAGCTTGTGAATCTGCTAAGTTACATTGCGCAATTATGACACAACATATTATATATGTATATACATATATATATATAATTGTTGTTGCGTCCACGTTTACGAATAATAATAATGCGAATGCGTCGGTAAATATCTATTATGTGAGAAAATTTAAAATGCATTTAGTATCATGAATCCATAGTAAGAATCTATTCTCGACGAGTATATATAAAATTTCCTCAATAAAAATTTCCTTAATAACTATTATTTATCATGATTTTTGAAAGTTTAATATATCAAATACTTCGATTACAAAAAATGAGTTTAATAAATAAAATTACAAGTATGAGATTCTCTCTGTTAATTGAGAATTTTTAAAACTGCATCGAAAAATATTAAATTTTGAATAATTACAAATAAATAACCTCGTCAAGACAAGATTAATTTAAAAAAAATATATATTTAGAAAAATCTTATCGACAGGCCTTGTAAATATATCGCAGTGAATGCAAATAGAAAGCATGACGATCTCAAAATAAAGTTTTCTCCGTTCATTATTTGAATTTCTATCGACGCACTCGGACTCGATCAAAAGCATCGTACGTGTTCGTAAAGTATCCCTCGTTGCAGGGCGCGTGAATGTAAGATAAATTAGAATTAAGGCCAGTGTTACGTGTATACGCTATGTACTACTCATATCATATGACGAACTCGTTAATAATTAAAAGACTCCGACCTGTCTTTTAGTAGCGATTGTCTGCGCAGCGAATTTCATGGCGAGAGATCTAAAATATCGCGACGAATGTTTTGCAAAGATAAGTAATCTCATCACATCGTCCGGAGATTTACTCTTTCTTCCATATCCTAGAATTATTAGACACACCGAAATAATTTTTCTCTTCGAGCCATGAAATATCTTGTCGAATGTTACGTTGTTAATTGCCCGGATCTTTGTACTGCCCGAACTGATTTCGCAGATGACGCGAAATCGCGCATGTGTATGGAAAAAAATTTGTAAATCCCCATCTGGTACTTCCAATAACTTGTTAATATGCTATAAATCTGGTGTATATCACATTACATGCCATATCCACGATGACAAAACAGCTCTTTCTTCAATAATACATACATATCCTGTAACATCCTTTTCGGGATTGATCACTTAATTTCCTCTCCCGAACAAATGCAAATGTTTTCGCCAACTAATCAAGAATCTGTTCTTGTATCTTTTTTAAATTTTAATAATTATCTCTAGTAAAAAAAATTTCTGAAAATCTTTTTAAAGTCGTAAAAGGATGAGATTTAATAGGATTAAGTTCATTTACGATTTGAAAAAGAAAGATATATTTTCATAATTTTGCGTGATCAGTTCCTTCATTTCTAGGCTTAGTTTTCCTTTGTCGTTCTTATTTTGATAGACAGATTTAACGCACGAGATATACATCTACATCAACAGAGGAAAGTCTGTAATAAATATATATAACATACAAATAAAACTTATGCTATTTACAACTCACTTTTTTTTGTCAGAAGGTGAGAGGTGAGACTAAAGTACATATTAAAGGAATGCTTATTAAAATTCAACAAGGTTCGTAAAATCTATAAAATTATGCAGATACATTGTGCTAAATTTTAGTACCAAGTCTCTTAATTAGTTTCTTAATACATAACATGTAGGATTTTAAATTGACAACTGATTTAATTTTTCCAAAAAAATTTTACAAATCTTCATATACTTTTATAATTAATCTATTGATTGTTTCTAAGCCTTTAGTTGCGATGCATTTTACCTGAAATTGCAAGATGATATTCTCATATACTTATAACTTCCATAATTAAAAATCGAGATCGAATGAGAAGTTAGTTTAACATGTATATGTACGCCTTTCGCAACTAAAAGGTTAATAGATTTCTACATTAATCCGAGCGATTCGTCACTCGAACAAGTCGACGCTCTCCCTTCGTCGTTTGATGAACTGTTACTGGAGTTATTATTCAATGCAGCAATTCTCTCTAACCTTCTAAAGTCATTCAATCTACATCCATATACTTTTATATTATCTTCTTCTTCTTTACTAGAACCGGCGCAGAAATAGGCATCAAAATTGGAATGATCGGAATTATCGGTATCATAATCTTCATCTCCGGAACGATCGGGATCAGTATCGGGATCAGTATCGGGATAATCATTTCTCCAATTGGATTCTGAATTTGAGTCCTCCGAAGATTCTTCACTTTTATCTTCAGAATCTAGATATGGATATTCTGGCTCTTGTACCATTATTTCATTGTTCTCAAACCATACATCATCATTAGTTGGCCCACAGTATAAATCGAACACAAAATCTTCAATATCCTAAAATATCATATACATTTATTTTGTTTGGTTATGTCTTATGTAAATATATATCTTATTTTTCTCAATCATTTGTTGTATTTCTAGAAATTATTTTATATATACATATAAATCTTTCTTTTAATTTTACATCTGAAGAATTATATTTCTTTTTTATTTAGTTTCTTATTTATTTCTTACCATATTAATATTTGTTTTAATTGCAATATAAAAAATTAATGTTTTTTGAATCTTCATTAAAAGATATACAGATTGCATATATTCATGTAAATATTTTTGCAAATATTTTTATATTACTCACCTCTGTTTCTTCTGCATTCTGCTTTGCTGTACCAGAGACACTCCAGCAATCCTCTACATCTATGAGTGTCAGCCATTTATCCTCTGACTTTTCCTCATTTAATGTTTCCTGAGAACGCTGGCAATTAACAACTTTGTACCTTTCTACCAGGGGATCTCCCCCTATCCATTTCTTGTTTGAAATATTCCCAGAATTGCCATCGCACGTCCGTTTGACACCAACATTCACTATTTCTGTGCCCATCTTGGGCATAACTTTGGCGACATGTTGTGCAACATCCTCGGTCTAAAACCAAATATTTCATAAAATCTTGCATTATTTTTTATGCATTAATAACAATATAATGTTTAATAATATATGTTGAACATTAATAACATTAGTGAAAATTAGCGGTCTATGAGCAGTCTATTTTATCAATTTTTTATTATATAATTTGAGATAAATAGCTTTTTTAAAAACATATTTCTAAAAAAGCGTCTCTTTTGTCTCAATTTCAAGAATTCAATTGTAAAATGCAAAGAAATCTCCGTACCAACACTTCTGTATTCTTTATAAAATTAAAAATGCTTTCTTATATATAAAAAGGTATATTTTTTTTCTCTTTTTATTCTAAAATGTAAATATTTATAATTAAAATTCTGGAACATTTTCGCAATTGCTCAAGATCAACGGACTTAAATTTAAATGCTTAACCGCGACTTATATATAGAGAGGTATATTTTTTTTCTCTTTTTATTCTTAAATATAAATATTTACAATTAAAATTCTGGAACATTTTCGCAGTTGCTTAAGGTCAACGGACTTAAATTTAAATGCTTAACCGCGACTTATAGAAGAGAACTGCTTATAGGATATTTATGCAGAATGATTAATCATATATATTAAACATAAATTATTACCGGATCCGTGAGTGTCCCGGCGAATTGAACGACCGTTTGGATGGCGGGCTCGCTTTCTTCCACAAGGGGCGATCCGGTTTTCGCACGCTTGCATGCGATCACCAGTCTATCGAGCGGGGTGTCGGTATTCTTACGTTTTACGCGCAAAACAGCAGTCATTTTCGATGCGTAAATTTTCCTCTTTCCTTGATGGATTTTCGCTCACTAATGCCAACAAAGTATCACGCTACTCGTGAATTACTTTAGGAAAGATGTAACAGTAATAGTATACGAATTTCTTTCTTGCTTTCCGTCCAAGTATCAGAACCAGAGTACCTACCAGGCTATTACAACGTACAACGCAAATCTTCCCTTGAAAAAGTGGGAGCTAGAGTTGTAACCATAGACATAGTATATCTAGACCGAGTGTTGAGGAGTGGGAGCCGAGGTGCACGTAGAAAAGGACATACTCTGTTTCGTGCCCCTTGCGTTCTCTCTCGCTCGCACGTAGCATGACGAAAGAGAGCGCTATGCTCTGTGCGAGCGAGAAAGAACGCAAGGGGCACCAAACAGAGTATGTTTTTTTCTACGTGTATCTTTACCCCCACTCCTTAAATAAAGGCAAACGCTCGGTCTAGATATACTATGTCTATGGTTGTAACTCAAGTGCACGTTCGGACATTATTAGTGCCGGTCTACAATAGTGATTTAAGCTAGAGCTTAAATCACTATTGTAGACCGACACTTAGAGTAATGATTTTTGATTGGTGGAAATCCGCCATATGTATTTAAATGCTGCTCTACCTCGTACAATTTTCGAACGCACTCTTGCATCCTTGCAAGGCTGCGTTCAGAAACATCACCCGTGTGCACACGGGTGATGTTTCTGAACGCAGCCCAAGTGAAGTGCGCGAGAAAATTTCTCCGCTTGATTTGACTAGCTGGATGGCTGGATTTTATGTTTCCACGTGTCTGTACCGATGAAAATAATTTATTTGAGGAATATATATGTAAGTTCACTCCATTTGCTGCATTAAACGTTTGTACTAATCTCCAATGAGTTAATTGTAATAGAAAAAAGAATTTTGTAAGCATTTAAATTTATATGATAAACGAAATCTTTAAGGTACTTTATTTTTTTGGGAGGTTATCCATTCTTTTTGTTTATTTTTAGATTTACAATGGCTACATCATTAGCGGCACAACTTAAAAAATTGAGAACTCCGCAGACGAATTTATTGCTGCAGGATAAGAAACGCCCAAGTTTGCTGTTTGATCCAAAGGAAGCTGCAAATTTGGACAGAGACACTGTATTGAGTATAGGTTAGCCTCTCACTTCTATTTTTATAAAAATTGAACTTTATACATATTCTTTTATAAAGATTTGTAATTAATAATATATATATTTTTTGTTCGTCAATTAATTTTTTTACTGGATTCTGTTACTTGATACACAATTTTAATTGTCTTATAACAAACAAGTTATATTTTGATTGTAGAGTTTAAAAGCAATATAGAAGTTTAGAAAGATATTTTTTCTAAATATAGAGATTTTAGACTTCTCTACAATGATTATCTGACTCCTGTTTTATATCTGCAATAATTTCATAAAATTTGTGCAAAGGAAGATATGCATGCTTATAAATTTATCTCTAAAGAAATATATTTTTATTATATTTAATCGTATGTTTCTATCTATTTAGGTCAGAGTGGTCTGCAAGAATTAGTAAAACTTTCTTTATTCTTTGAAGAATTTAAAGCAACAATATTTGCACAGAGTACTGTGAATTTTGAACGCGCCGTTCAAGATGCCACAGTGAACAAAAAATTGGATGCAGAGATCGCAAAGTTTCTATTGTTACTCTCTCCTTATTTTTTATTAAGCGCATCGCACAAAGCTTTGGAATGGCTGATATACAGATACCATATTCATCAATACAACCGAGATCAATATATACTTCTGATTTTTCCTTATCACGAAACTCGTATGTTTGTTAGGTATGTATTATTGATATAAGATATCAGAATGAAATCTTAATTCTCGAAAACATAATTTATCATTTGTATTATTTGTACATTTCTCCCATTTTTTATTTGAAACTGTCAATTTCATAATCGGTATCGTTTGTTGTGCAATAATTATATATAAAAAGATCTAAGAAATCTTAATTATATATAAATTTCTTTATTTTCTTAATTTTGTTAATTGTATACATATATATATATTTTTTTGTTTATTCTGTGGTTAAACAGAAAAGAAATTATATTAGCAGAAAAATGTGTGTATGTGTGTATTAAAAGTTTTATGTTAAATGTTATGTGAAAAAATATGAAAAAATTGAAAATATATTTTCATCTTAATTTTCTGAGAGTGTTATTCTTCTTTTAATATACATTTTTGTCATTTTTAATTATAAAGCAATTGAGTTAAAATTTGCTAACTTTTTTTTTGCAGAGCTCTGCAGTTGGTGGATCTATCAGACGAAAACGACAAATGGCACTGGCTGGCGCCTTTGCAGAAACGTGGTGTACCGTTAACTTCGGGTATTCTTGTTAATCGTTTGAGCACAGACAACGGACTTCTGAAGATGTTATGCAGCCACGTGATATCCGCCACGGAGATGTATTCCGAACAGGCTTTTTGTTTGACCACCTTGTACGCCTTTTATACCACTGTAATATTGGGCGTGATTGAACAAGTATCTGTTACAGAGATTCAAGTGAATCACTTGCTGCCAACTCTACTCTATAGCCTGAGAAGTCTCATTCCCGATCTTGCTTCTAGTAGCTACATGATCATTGCAAAACTGATGATGAAGGTGATTTAATATTTAATTTTCTTTATGTGTCCTGATTTTATCTTTACCTGTTTTTATTTATATTTATTTTTGCTTTAAAAACTTGTTTGGTTAATATTTGCAGTACAATATAAAAATTTCTACAAGTTTAGATTATTTAAATGCCATGTGTTATAAATGGTAAAATAATAAATTTTTGGAAGTTTATAAAGAGAAAAATAATATTTGCCTTTCAAAAATTATATTTGTTTTCCAAAAATATTAAAGTTATTAAGATTAAAATATAAATCTTGTTTTTTTTTTATATTATTGAAATATATATTAATTGTGTGTATATGTATGTATGAATATAGGTGAAGTTTAATACCGATACCACGGAAAAGTTGTTGCTGAAGATCTTCAAAAAGACACTCTTGAAAGAGGAGGCTACAATTCTTCTGCTCCATCTCTATCAATCTCCGATTAATCGATTGACTGTTGTACCGCAAGGTTTAGTCCTTCAATTATCGGATTTATCTTGGTTTGTGGAGATAGTCGTCAAGATTCATTCGTCAGGCGTTAATGCATCTCGATTCATCGTATGTTTTCTTCAGGCAGCTTGCCAGGTCGTCGCCGAGAATCCCGAGGATACCGTCAATGTTCAGAATATGATCGGCGACATGCTAACACGCATCAATTTAGACAATGACGCGGTGGATGCCATTTTGCTAAGTATACATACGTATGAATTTCTCAAGAATGATACTACGAAGATCGCAAAAGACTTTTTAGCGAGATTCTATCAAAATCTTGAGCGCAGTTATCCAGAAAGGTTCGACAAATATCTGAAGAAGCTGATGAAACAGGGCGACAAGGATTCTAAGCAAACATTACACTTTCTTACTTCTTGGCCTTTTTGCACCAAGGAGGCACAGGATTCCGTTGAAATCCTGAATAAATTGACGCACATCAGCGCCGAGCAACGAGTGGTCGCCCTCGAGATTCTCGCCAAGAACAACGCGAACGTACCTGAGAGTTTCCGCGAGATGATGACGAGTACGCTTCAAGCTAGATTTTATGACAGCGATGTGAATGTCGTGAAGACCTTGCTGTCCTTCACCATGAAAAGATTGACCAGTTTACTACCCACAGATACCCTGGTGGATGAATTGTTGATCTTGTTATCGACATGTCACACGTCATCAAGGAAAATACTGGCTAAGCCAGCATTGAAGATACTTTTGGAACTTTGCGAAGAAAGTGATGAAACCAGCATCTTTATTACAGCTTTGCCGTATCTATTTCCGGCCGCGGACGAGGACGTGGAGGTCGCCATGGAGGTTCTTCGTTCGAATTTTGCCAAGAATAACACATACATGCAACATATATTAGAGGACATTCGCAAATCTGAATTATTAAATGCCGAGGCGATCTCCTCCACTGCTTTTCACAATATTTTGAATCACAAGTTACTACCGCCTACGGAGAATATATTGAATTCCATGCGGCAACAGATCTCGCATGGCGACGCGGCATCCTTGTTTTTTAACATGATTCTATTAGGATCAGTTTGTAGAGTGCCCGTGGGTTCAATGCCGGCCAACACTGCGCGTGACGTCATCGAAATGGCCACGAAGATGATTAAGACGTACTCGCGCGTTAAATTACTGCACGATTGCAACAATATTACTGGCAACAATATCCAAATGGCATTGAAGCTCACATCCGAGGGTATCCTGCCATTGCAAGTGGGTACTTATGTTCTGGAAATGGTTCACAGACGACTAAATATCAAGTCTGAATCGAAACTCGACTTTGATAACAATACAGAGAGGAGCAATCTAATCTTGCGACTTTTGGAGATGTTCATCGAGGGTATGAATAATCGCCACTGGCGGAAACACTATTCCAGATGCCTGCAGATCTTCTTTCAACTTCACTTCTCCACAGTGAAGGATCTCATCTGTTTTCTCGCACAGCTTTATGTGAAACCCATCAACGTGCAGACGTCCTATCACTGTCTGCAAATCTCCTCGCTGTTGTTGGACCAGTGCAAATCTGTTCAATGGGCATTCCAAGATCAGGACTTTGTAACTAATCTGCTGCTTTCGCTGGCAAGACGTAACAACGATTGTAGAACAGTGGCGTTAGACATTCTAAAGAAATTGACGCAAACTTTCAGCTTTACTACGGAACCATTCTTCATATTGCTTCAGGAATTAGCGGCGAGAAGTGCTGAAATTTCCCAAGACCCCGACCAGCTCTCTCTGAGCCTCTATGTTCTTCTCTCGCCTGATCCTGATGTGTCTTATCAAGTAAAACAACGTAAGAAGCTGCAGCAGGCTCAAAAACTGCTGTTCAATATGGTTACGCAGCAGGATGAAGTATTAAAAATTCCCATGGATCGAAAATCGCAGTTGCTTGACATCCTAATACACGTTAATAGTGCTGGAATTCTCCAGCAATTGGCTCCGTTAGGTCTTCAGCTTTTACAAAAGTTAGTGGAGGATCCTAAAAATAAATCGGCTGCTAGCGCTTTGCGAAATATATTGCAACGTTTTAATGGAACTACGGTCAGTGCTTTGAATGATGAACAAGTATGGTTATTCTTTGAAGCGAGTATTCTGGCGCACGAACTTCAAACGATCACGGAATCCGGCGAGCAAAAATCGCCGAGCATTGTGTTATTGAGACAGATCGACGAAATATTCTTTGAGAACGTCGGTGAAATATCTCGCGATCTTCAGGCAAAGATCTTATCGAAGATGTTGGACGTGGTGACCGATTGCGAGATTAGCAGCGTAATTTCTGCCGTTGGCAGAGCGATTCGTCGAATTCGCATCGATGCGACAATCATAACGTCAGAATTACAGACGATGAAGTTGAACGGCCCAGAGGAATCAACAGACCTGGGAATGACGGCTAGCGCGATGAAGCGAAAGAGACGGCAGAGCCAGATTAAATTGGCGAATCCGGCGATGGTGCACAGTCGGACATGGAAGCGTGGCGTTGCTCTGCTGGAATTTGCGCAGCGCGCCGATAACATCAAGCGCGAAGAATTACTTTACGGAGTGCTGTTTGATCTGCTCAACATCTGTTTGAGTTTGGAGGAGCAGAGCCCGGTTGAGTACACTAATCAGCTGATTCTTTCGACAATTCATCGGCTGATGACGAAAGGACTATCGGTGCGTGATGCCGATGTGCAAATCGCACTTATTACTAAATGCATTAGAACATCGCGCAATCCACAGACGCATCATCACGCGCTGCTCGTGTTGGTCGAATTGTTGAAAAACGTGGATGTGCAACGCGCTCTTCTCAATATTATGCCAATCTTCACATTTATGGGCAATACAGTGGTGCGCCAGGACGACGCCTACTCCATTCAGATCATTTCCAAAACCCTGGAAACAGTGGTGCCGATCGTGAACGCGGCCGACAACGAGATACATGCTTGTGAATTACTAAGAACTTTCATCGTCTCGTTGCCGCATATTCCCGAGCATAGACGATCGCCACTCTTCGTCAAACTGCTGCAACTTCTTGAGAATCACTTACACTTATACTATCTGCTCTCTTTCGAAAATCATGTAATGAAGACTGCAAATCAAAGGACCGAGCAGCCAGCGCAGCAGATGAATTTTGCTCTTCAGGTGTCCCAAGAGTTTTCACCGCAGCAGTTGCTTCAGGTTAGTCATGATTAATTAATTAGTAATGATTAAACAAAAATTTTGATGAGATTTTAATAACAGGAATAATATCTTTAAAATATATATATATATAAAAGACCACATTACTTTTATATCGAGAGATAAAAGACAGAAATGTTTTCTAGGTTTGCGTGAAAGTAGTCGAGTTCATCAAGGTCCTACCGATTGACATCGAGGATGAACAGGGGAGAAAGGCGGCGATGAAGTTCCCATATAAATACATTTACGATGTGACAAAATCAATGCCGAAAAGTCTTCGGTACTATAAGATAACGGCCGTACAATTCCTCAGCAATCTTTTATCATCTCAGAATTTTATTAATCGCGTGGCTATGCTGAGTCAGGACGAGGCGAACGAGATGAACGAGTACTACAATCGTCTAGCAATCGAGTTAATCTTGTTGATTCAGACTATTTCAAAAACCGCCGATCAACAACAGAGTAAGCCGAGCTGCGCTAAATACTGGAAAGTATTGCTGCATCATTTATATGACGTATTGGATCTAGTGAATAACTTGCTGCCGAACGCCTTGTTCTTGAAGAGTATAAAGAACTTGTTGAAACACGAATTGTTGTCTGTTAATAAGAAGGCGTTAGAACTACTGAACGCGAGATTGCTTCAGAAGAAATTTAACGATGAAGATCACATTGATCTTCTAAGCCTGATCAAATCTTTGATGAACTTCTTGGACACTGAAGTGAAAGTTGAGACCCAGGAACAAGAGATTGTTCAACAGACGGTGCTGATATCCTTGAAACTACTGGCGAAGCTGCTGGCTATTGATCATCCCGCAGTTTTTAAACCGGTACAAATAATCCTTTTTTTTATAAAAGAATTATTTTATTGTAATACATTTACATGTATATAATTGATTATATTTAACATTATGTATATTAATAATTGTTCACAGATCCTGGACATGACGACAGAATTGCTGCGATCGAAAGACGGTCCAGTATTAGCAAGCGCGGCATTATGCGTCGCAGAACTATGCAGTTCCATGAGAACGCACGCTCTATACTCGCTGAATAAATTCGTGCCAGCGATTTTGAAGTTACTGGAAACCCATTGCCATCAGAACGTACCAGACGTGATGGTCATCAGCATTGTAAGTGCCTTGCAAAAAATAGTGGAGTCGCTGGGAAATTTTCTGTCACTGTATTTGGACCAACTTTTGTCTGAATTGGCCATGTTGAGTTCCCTGTACACTGACACGGAGCATCCTAAGGTATTTATGGTTTCCTTTTCAACCAAGAATTTTAAAATATAGAATCTCTCAAAGTTAGTTTTATCTTTCATGTAGTGCCAAATAATATTAAATATAATGTTTTTATAAAAAATGGCTTTTATGCTGTATCACAATCAATTAATTATTAATATTCGTAAAAATAAATTTCTAATATTTTGGATTTATTTTGCCAAATTCTATCCGAATCCTTCTGAGATGTAATTGTTCCATTTAATATGTGTTTGTGCAGATCGATATTATAGTTTCACGACTAAAGATGACGACGCAAAAGTTATCCAATTGCATACCTCTGCGAGTGTTGCTGCCGGCTGTCAATAGGACTTACCAGATTCTATTAACCAAAAAGTCTTATCAGTGTATACCATCGTTGATGAGCGTGCTGGCCGAGTCCTTTGAAAGCGTGCAACCGGCGGACTTGAAGATAGAAGTTGACAATCTCGCCAATTTCTTTCTCGAAGTTCTTCAATTCCGGGAACATATCGGAAGCACGGACGACAATGTGAAGACGGAGGAGGACACTAAAGCTACCTTAAAAGATATCGTTGCAATCGAAGAAAGCGCCAGTAAGACGATGGTAGCGTTGGTTTTGAAGCTGAGCGAAGCAACTTTCAAGCCGTTATACAATAAATTCTATGGATGGGCAGCGAATGATACACAACACAAACACCGAAATATAACTTTCTACAGGTATAAAAAATTAATTAATTTCAGAGACAGACATATATGATTACTTTAATAAGATATGATAATGCGACTTTTTATTTCTCAGATTATCGGCGAATATAGCAGAATGCTTGAAATCTTTGTTTGTCCTTTTCGCCGGACTCTTTTTGAAGCACGCGGCGTCATTGTTGAGCAGCAATAACATGTTTGTCATAGACAGTCCACAGGAACTGACACTTCCCAACGAATCGAACAGAATTGAACTGGTGGAGGCGATTTTACTGACGCTTCACCGGGTTTTTGATTACGACGCGCATAATTTCGTCAGCCAGGATCGATTCGAGATTCTCATGCAGCCGATAGTAGATCAAGTGGAGAACACAATGGGCACGAGGGAAGAATACGAAAGTCGAGCTAATCAGCTTATTGTACCCTGCATAGCCTCGTTCGCTAGTGCCATTCCTGATGATTCGTTGCACAAACAACTGGTTTATCAGACATTGCTAAAAACCAGGCACGCAAAGCCTTATGTTAGAAGTACTGCGTTAAATGCATTGGTAAGACTGGACATAATGATTAGATTTTTTATTATTACAATTTAATTTAAATAATATAATTATATATTACGAGTGGCGGTTTTTATTTTAATATTTATTATATATTATCGAGAGATATTAAATGATTGTTAATATATTAAGTAAATTTGATAATTTATAATGAAGAATTAGTTATAGATGTTAAAAGATATTTATTTTGATATAATTAAAAACCTTGACACAGGTGGAAATCGCGAGAAAGCTTGGGGAAGATTTTATGCCGCTGTTGCCAGAAACTGTGCCGTTCCTGGCGGAATTGTTGGAAGACGAAGATGAGATTACGGAAAAGTGTGCGCAAAATGCTGTTCGCACTCTGGAAGATATTTTAGGCGAGCCTCTACAGAAATATTTTTAAATTCAATATAATTTTAAATGTAAAGAGAGATGTAAGTGTGTAAATATATAGTTAGGTTTTACATTAAAAAATTGTTTCTGTAAATTTCTCAGAAGAGGTAATTTATTAGAGGTAATTTTCTCTTTTAATTTACATGACACTTGCGTAAAATAGTTTTATTTATTTCAGATCTCTAAGATAGTTTTATGAACATAAAATAAATAATTAAATGATAGCGAAAATAAGGGAAAAATTAAAGTTAGTAAATCTTGATGATCATTTGATAAGCAAAAGAAATTTTTTGGGTTTTTAAAAAATTAATAAATGACGGCTTTTAATTATCAAATTATAAAATCAGTTGATTGAAATTTAAGTTTGGGACAAAAATGACAAATAAGTACACAGACAACTACTAAGAAAACATTGATTTATTTTTAACTTATCCACAAATTGGACGAAATATAGAATATATTATTTCCTTACATTATAATACAGAGTAACGTAAGTGTGTGTACGTAAGGTCATGATGTAATAGGCTCGTGAGTTATACAGTATCGAACCAATATAATCCGTTTATAAAACGGCACCTGGGAACACTGGGTCCTGTTTTAGCGTTTTAAAAGTGGCTGTTTATATTCCTGAATATTATTTCTCTATATGAAATCTTAAAAAGCATATCTATAAAGATGCATTTATTGTGAACATAAGATGACAATTTAACACATTTAACATTAAATACACAAGAAAAATGCAGATGCGTCGAAGCATGTTTCCGAGTTAATTTGTCATTTATTGATTCTTCATGCACTTTTAATATTAAAAAGTGTTATCTAATTTTGAATTTTCTCTAAATTAATATATAAGAGAATATATAAGAGGCGAATATATAAGAGAATATTTCAGAATTTAAACAGCCACTTTTTGCACTAAAAAATGCACAGTAAAATCACATTCGACATCGTCCTCAAGTGTTACGAAAAGATACATTTTTTTCTCTTCTCGCTTTTTCGAATGTGACTTCATTTTAATTAATTGCGCGAAATCATCGCGATAACTTCGAAGTTCTTCGAGGGTCGATCCAATGGGAGACATTTTTGCGATAACTTCCATGTGGACATCGATGATTCCTCGCTGGTACCGATGGCCATTAGTGTGCGATCAGTCTGTGTTCCTGGGATCACACTTGGGGCACATCCGCCGATCCCCGAAGAGACATTTCTTCGGCTTGCGTCATGGCTGGAACTCTTCTGAAATGAAAAAAGAAGATATTCATTTAGCATTGCATTTCCTTAACGTTTCATATATCTTTTTTATTTTTTGTTTATATGTATTTTAAAAAGTTTCAGATTGATTTTTAGATGCGTAGAAATTTTTATTCTAAAGAAATTAGTATGTACATTAATCTAGTTGGCATTTTGTTATTAATTATGTTAAAAGTATTATTTGTACAATTTAATATGATAATTTTAGTTTAATATCTTAATTTCCTATTTTTATTATTATGCTCTTGTATGATAGAAATTTTTAAATAATATTTAGATATTAATTATTAATTTTTATAACATATAATATAGATTATGTATAAAGATATATATTTTGTCTAAATTATTTAATATTTTAAATTACGATATAGGAATTTAATACAGGAAAAAAAAAAATTTGTTTTAATATACAACGAATTAAAAATTTAAACTCAAGATATTTCCCGCCTTCTTCCTCATCTAAAGCGGACTAATTCACACGCATCCACGAATCCGCGCACATCGCGCGTTATTTTTCTAGTAATGTAAAACGCATAATTTACTTGTACAATTTCGCGTGAGTACAATTCCACGTATATCAATCCGATTGTAACGTACTCGGTTGCCTCTAATTAATATTCAGGTAACATGATTTCTCTATTGAACTTCTAAAAAAACACATCCGAAAAATCGAACGAAATTAACTCGTTATGTTTTGCTAACATGCTTGTTTTCATAATGTGCGAGATTATTATATATCCGTGTGACGAAATCAGTTGTGAAAATACGAGCAGCAAAAGTTTTTCTATGTACATATACCTATTGTGTACACATTCCAAGCTTGCCGAGTACGCGTAGGATGTTTACATTCGCGTGTTGTCTTTTTTTTAGCGGGCGCCTCGACAAGTAACCGGCGTGTCATTCATACGCCAGATCCGAGACGCTACGCATGTATTACCTCTCTCGCAGCGACAAGTACGCGGAAAATGGCAAGAACGATATACTTTCCCACGAATAATCATAATTGATATTGAGCGATATCTTGTAAGTGCATATCTAGTATGAGCATATTAAAGATACGGCTAGTTATAGTCCGGAATATCAAAATCTTCGCACATTGATTCGTTTATCGAGGACTCGAAACGATGGAGAACGAGAATCATAATTTCTCGTCTCTCATCGTATGATTTATTTATTTATAAATAGTAATTATTACATGCTTGAGAAAGAGAGAGAGGGAGAGAACGCGTGCTTAAAAAAAAAAAAATATATGTATATATATATATTTTGTCACATATTTTTATATCAATTTAGATACATTATTCGCTTGCCATTTTGGCGGGAAAAGCGTAAAGTAATAGACGTGTCGGAGAAAGCCGTGACACATCGAGCTGAGATATTTACATCGTTTATTAATAATACGTGTGTTTGACGGGATTTATACGTGTACATAAAATGAAATACATAATTTCAATCGTTTTATTATTATTAATCGGTCATTAACTTGACTTTATTAGTCGCATCGGAATTGACGCGAAGTTGGCGGCGAGAAGGAGAGTCTCAGCTCTCAGCGAATATCAAGGTGTAGAAAGTGTACTAAGCAGTACTTAAGGGGGAGCAACAGGCGTAGCGTCGCGGAGGAAGGTGTAGCACGCGATTTTTGAATCTTCTCCATCTCTCATGTGCTGTAAAGCTCGTCGTGTATATCGGGAGTGCCGTTCAAGAATGTCGGGCGATCGTCAGTATCGTATTAATTAGTACACGTGTATCTCTAATTAATTCCGTCGTTCGCGAGTGTTTGTATTGCCTGCCACAGAGAGGTTAACCCAACTTAACGGAGGATCAGGAGAGGAGGAGGAGGAGGAGGAGGAGGTCAGGATGGTGAGTTAGTAATAACTTATTTAATTTATCACTTGTTTGATTGTGAGATTAATTGCTCGTTCACAGCTCTGCGACATTGTTGTCTCATTTTGTGATAATATATTATAATACGTTTCCAAAGTTGAATCAAGAATTTACAAAGTGAAGTGGATTTTTTTATCCTCTGGAAAGTTCAATTAATTTTTATGAGGCATATGATATAAAATTCGTAAAATTTTCATAAATAGAGAAAAAATATATTTGAAATTTAGTAATAAAAAATTTAATTTTTATATTAATTAAAATTGAAAATTATATTTCTTTTAATTACATTTTTATTATTTTATTGCCATTTTTATTGGTTTTTTTTCTTACAAAAAAAAATCGAGTCTAGTTGTATCGATGAGATATGATGAGACGAGTTTACTTACCTCTTTCTAAATTGGAAGATGATATACACAATGATCGCATTGCCGACGAACAGCAAAGCAATTAGGACCGTTGGCAGCACAACATCTGTAACATAATACAGATTTGATTAATATCGATTGGCTAACGCACTGTCATCGTGTTGATTCGATTTAGTTGTATACTTTGATCGTGCACGTTGAAAACCCGAGTGAAAGCCACTTACATTAGGTATTGCTATCAGTATTCTTGTTCATGAATACTAATAAAATCATCGATTATCTGATATTGATACTAATGTCTGGATTAATAATAGAGAAAATTAGTGTTCACGATATATTCACATTGATAATAAAATCGACAATCATTTTGATAATACGAAATATTAATATCAGATATATTTGATGTTTAATCGGAAAACATGTTTACATTAATAACATGATAAATTCCTACTTATATCAAGATGGTTATTAATTATCTAGAATCTTATCTTAATCATAATTTTAAAAGAAATATCAGTTGGTGAAAAAAACTGATATATTTTGCCATAACAATATATATATATATTCAAAATAATTTTTATATCAAAATTATATTTAATTAATTAAATGTTAGTTATATTAAAAATACTTGATATTTAAATAGATGAAAATAATTTTAAATGTATCATGTTAAAAATAAATCTAATGGTATATTGGCAGTATAATAATGATTATTTATTTCGACATAAAAATTCATAAAGATATATATCGAAAACATGAAAAAAATTATACTGGTAACAATTTTGTGGGAGGCTTATCATTCAGGATCTCACGTCATCTCTCGCCGAGTATTATCAATTATGGCATACTGAACTTTGGACGCCACGCGCACGGTGAGTAATTGACCAAAGTTTCTTTCAATATATGTGCCTGCTTATTGATTTATAATGAGACATTTTTAACATGTCATGTTATCTTTTAACGTCATTCATTTCTATCAAAGTTTTTATCCTATTTTTAGCATGAAAAGCCGTCAATTAATTATATAATTACAATCAATTATAAATAATATATTTCTAATTATTCTTTTCTTATAACTTGAATTATGAATCATCTTATACAATCTTATGAAATACATTTTATGACATGAAAAACTATATTCAATTTTTTATTTTATTTTGTTGTTGTTGTGGTATTATTGAATTATTCATAGATTCTATATTTAACGTCCGTTTGCCAAATACAAATTTGCAAATGTATAAATTAATGTTTAATGTTTAAAAAAGATTTTTATACATAAAGAGAGAAATATATTAAAATACTGAATATTATATATAATGTACATTCACAAATTGACGATATAGACATGACAAAAATAATCGATTTCAAGCGAAGTTCTAAATAGAATTTTCATATTCGCTTGTATAAATGCTTGACGTTATCATCGAACAAAAACTATAGTAAATGCGAATTTTGCATATGCAAAACGTTAGCGATGCAAAAATTCATTATTATTACAAGTGATCTTTTGATCTAAAAACATAAATAGCATTTCGATTTCGCCATATAATTAAGCAATCTCTATTAACAAAATGTGCAAATAACATAGAAAATAGAACAACAAAAGAACTATAAAACAGAATAAAAAAAACTATTTCACAATCGTATTTGATCGCATCTTATCACGTCACTTGTTATCGACTAGGCTAATGGACTTCTGAAGCCAATAATAATTGAATACTTTTAAAGTTCATATTCGTATAAAACAAGTAATCTGTTGCATTTATTATTCGCGATTAATGAAAATTTTTCCAATTTTCTATTTTACCTTATCATTAATCGTGAAAGAAATTTAATTGCTAGCAATATTTCTTTTCAATTATTACTATTACTTTGTTGTATAGGATATACAATAATTTCACACCAAAATTTTTTAACTTAATATTAATTTAATAAGAGAAATAAAATTTGAAAATTTTATTCGCAAATAGAAAAATATATTAATATTTCTCATTATGAATTTTTTTCTAAAAGTTGTGAATATTAATTTACTTCTAAAATTATAACGAGTTTTATTAAAATAAAGATTAATTATTATTCCATAAAAGTATCGTCAAAAAAGGAAGAGATTCCATTTAAGTTAAATTTGTTATAATATATTTTTAATTTTCAAAAATTTTTATTGAAGCATTTTTTGTAATAAAAGTTATGCATATTCATCATATTTTTAATTTTTTAAAATTGGTTGAAGATTTTAATATCGTCTCATATCTCTGCTCTCTTCCAATATATGGATTATACATATTCAGATTAAAACATATTATTCTTTCATGAAGTCTTTGCTTCACAAAGAATTTTACTGCAATTTTGCTTCAATAAAATTATTAAAAATTATAAGAGGAGTGAAACGTTTTTCAATTCACGTGACGGCAAGCTCATACGTCACAAGTTCATGAAAAACACTCACGTCGCTTTGATAACACATATTCAGATAACACAGTAACAGATTTGTAACGACTATCGGATTAATCGATCACAATCGTCAATAGAATCAAATTATAGTCTTGCGATCGTAGAAACCGTCGTCACGTTTGCCGTGAAAAATATCGTGAATTTAGTTCACTGACCTACGACGTAGTCCGCCTGCTTCATCATGGCCGATTGCGCCGAATCCATAACGGGGTTGCTGCTATCACTCGCGACTGCGTCCTCGCCACGTCCTATTCTTACCCCCGTCCCGAGAATATTGTCCCCAGACAGGCTCGACAGATGATGATGTTCGTTCTCCGTCTTTAGGATCACCGCTGACGTGGCTGTGAACAAAATTAGGCCCCCTCGATTTAGTAATCGCAAAGTCGATAAAATAAAATCGTCGTAAATTTTGTTTTCTCATTTAAAAAATGTAATACGTTGAAATATTTCATTGATAGCAATTTTTCAAATTGATATCATTTTTATACTTGAATTTTTCTTGTGTCGTGAAATATAATAGTTAATAAAAAGTTGAAAAAAAATTAAAATATGAGAGTATTTTTCATAATATAAATAATTTATGTTGTTCCCACGCAATGTCTCTAAAATTTTGGAGATTAAATATTTCAAAGTAATATAAAATAGTTTTTGTCTCTTTTCTTTTTTATCAGTGTTTTATTTTAATGATTGCACAGAGATAACGAATGCAATACGTATCATACGTAAATTATACGCTTTGTCGAATAATTCCTTAATGTAATGCTGCATAAATTTCGTAACATGGTTATAATCACGATCGTTTGGGAATGATAAGTTCGGGATATCGCACACCTGATTTAATCCGGATTTGCGCGGTCAACAAACCGCGATGTCGATGATATCGATATTTTGAAATGATACAAGAACAATTGCCCGCGTCGCTATAAAGCGTATCGATCTCGACGATCTTCCCCGCGGTCAAGGGGAGGAATCGGTCTGCGTAAGGGTACTTTATTAACGGATCGATAAGGTCGTAGTTTCTACGAGGGTAGTTGCACGTTGTCATTCTCATCAACAATTCACAGCAACAATTATGTAACATGTTTCCCCTTTCTATTCAAAAACCATTAAATTTTATTTTCATCGTATTTAATCCAAAATATATCTCAAATATATGAATAAAAAAACAAATATAGAGAAAATTACTTCTCTTTAAAAATTTTTTATCCTGAAACTTGTGTTTTTTATGGATATAGATAATTATTCTCTGGTTACTTTTTTATTATTATATATTTTAAAAAAATAATTAAAAAA